GGGGGTGTTGGCAGGCACTTAGCTGCTTTGCACTCTGTAGTTCAGGCAGCAGAGCACGTGTCTTGCAGCAAATCAACCAGCACATTTAACTAGCAGACATGCAGAGTTGCAAACAGTGCAAAGCAGGCACAAGACTAAAGAAATAGAGAATTTTTTTTTGAAAAACTTCAAAAAAGTATGATTAACTTTGGACTTTGAACTTTGAACTTTGGATTTAGTAATTTAAGTTCATAACTTCATAATAAAGTTCATATATAACTTAAAAGTTTGAACTTTGCAGTTCAATTCAGAACGTCAGAGTCTTCAGACTGGCAACACTGTCAGCTCTCTCTCTCTCTCTCTCTCTCTCTCTCTCTCTCTCTCTCTCTCTCTCTCTCTCTCTCTCTCCCTCCCCCCCCAACGGGCAGCGGCAGTGGGCACCATGTCGAAACGGCCACTTTGAAATTGCTCGGGCCTGTGCGAAACCCACCACCTCAAAAACCTGCAGTGTCTTGTGTCTGGACCTCTAGGCCATGTCCGGTGGGGTGAAAGGACACTTAAAAATCACCCCGTTATTTTTCGAGGGGAGGCTAGGACCCGACAAACTTCCTGGGCCGCCCCTTTTTTTTTTTTGATTTTTGCCCCATTCGGACATGGGGACCAGACACCGGACTGTCTGGAACCCGGTCCGGACGTCCGGGCGGTTACCATGTAAATTTCTATTTATTTATTTACTACATTACCAGAGTGGCCCGGGAGTCGGGACCACCTCCCCGGCCAGCCGGAAAATGAATTAACATTAAAATTAAAAAAGTATATATATTTTATTATTTTTAATTCTTTTTATTTTATATTTGGGAAAGAAAATTGGTTGTGGCCCTGAGGCAGAAGTTGTTCATTTTATTTCTCTGGCTTCTGCACAACAGAGGTTTTTTTCGGGTTTTTGCTAGGCTACCAGAGTGGTCCGGGACCACTTGCTGGGCCGGGTCGAAAAAATATATTAATATTATTTTTATACATATTTTTATATATATTATTTTTTATTTTAAATTTGGTAAAGAATTTCGATGTGACCCTGAGGCAAAAGTTGTTCAGTAACTTCAGTTTAGTTTTCTGCATAACGTTTCTTTTTCAGAGTTTTTTTTTTTTTTTTTTTTCTCCTTTTGCAAGATAAAATGAGCGATAGGGAACATCAGAAATCAAACAGCATCATACACATGAGACCAGATAGTCGTGACGTCGAACCAATAGCAGAATTGCATCACGAGTTTCACCAAATAAGAGCACAGCACAAGGTCATAATTGACAATGCTGGAATAGTCTCATCATCATCAACGAAGAACCAATGTCGATATCCTATCTGGCGCTCAACGCCCAGACTACAGATGGCAGATCCTATCTAGCCTATCTACAATGCCGCTGATGACGTCAACAGCTCCCCGAAGCACGAACAGATCTCGGCCAATGCCGTACGCTTCAAGCACCAGGTGTGTCTCTCGAATCACTCACAACCTCGTTCCCCAACTCACAGATGCCACATGCACCCTAGGGCCACCATGCGCCGCATCCAGCATACAGCAGCGCAGCTCGGCTATGGCTGCCTGCTCCGTCCAGCTCGCCCGTGAGCGCGTGAACTCTGGCCAGCTTTAGCTCAGCAGCGCTTGCGCAGCATGCAGCCAGTGCCTGAATGCCGAATGCGTGGGCAGGCACTTTCCTAGATGGAAGTGGCCTGCCTGCTTGCATGCAGCTTGGCTGTGCTGGGCCCCTGCCCAGAAGCTTCCGGTAGGCCCCAGAGTGGCTGAGCCCCATTCCAAACAAATCAGGCCCTGGGCCTGTGGTGGTTGCCCGTATCCAACTGCCCGCGGCTTGTGTTCGGTCCATGTTGCGAATCTGGCCCGGGGCCTGCCTCAGTTACATTGGAAAGAGGCCGCCTGGGCCTGGGCGCTCTCAACCAACTGGCGCTGTGCAACTGCCTGAATTTCCCCAGTTGCGTGGTGACCCCAAAAATGGCCTGTAGGCCTCAGTCGAGCCTGCCTTCACTTAGGGTGGCCGACTGTGCTGAAAATAGGGCCAGTAGGGCGTATCGAGGCCTTGTGCCTCACATTTGCTACTCCATACTTCACTAGTCCTCTGAGAAGTTCAATCTTCAATAATCTGGCGCTTTCCCTTCTGCAGAGACTTTTCATATTGGGCCACAGCCTGAGGAGCGGTCTGCATCAGTTCCTTCCTGGTAAACCATGATCCTCCTTTGGATCAGTATGATGTCTGAACCGAACCCGGTACTGCAGCTTCGGTTTCGGAGGACGTCCCCTGCGTGTCGGTCTTGGAACTGGCGTTTCCTTGTGGTCCACGATGTCGTCGATGTCGACCTCTCCATCCATGGTTGGGGGCAGCATTGAGCGACGAGAGGGAAACTGATCTGTTTCCCTGAAAGGTGCGAGTTTGGAAGCGTGAAACATAGGGTAAGTACGTAAGTGACCAGGGATGCGAATAACATATGACGGCCCATCCGGTTCATCCCCAACAACATCTAGGACCTCCCATGGTCCAAAGTACTGTGGCATGAGCTTGCGGGAGATCCCGTGCTCCTGTCCCAGTTCTGAGGACTTAACCCAGACTCTCTCCCCTACCTGAAATGTAGATGGGCGGCGGTGCAGCGGTGCTTGTTCTCAGAGTCTATCATTGCCGCCTGCACCTTGTGCATCTGTTCAAGAACCTGCTGCATCAGATGCTCATATTGATAAGCGAACTTCCTGGTGCAGCAGAAGGCTGGTTCTCAGGTAGTAGGAAATCCAAGGGCAGTCTGGGCTTAAAGGTCAGTAGCAGACTGTCCGGGCTCACTCCCGTTGCGCTGTGCACAGCGTTGTTGTACAGGCTGGCGATGAGAGCAAGTTTCTCATCCCAATCTACCTGATTTGGCTTGATGTAGTGCCTCAGCAGGTGTTGTACAGCGCGGTTCAACTGTTCTGCTTGCCCATTCACCTCGGGATGGTTCCCTGATGTCATCTGCAGCTGCGTTCAGCTGCGTTCCCTGTTCTGCAGCTGCGGCTTTCCACAGTTCACTAGTGAATTGCACATCACGGTCACTGATTATAGATTTTGGCAGTCCAAAATCTATGACCGAGTTTTCTTTGAACAGCTTAATTACGTTCTCAGTTTTAGCTGTTGCAGGCATTGCGGCTAACCTAGCGTACTTACTAAATCTATCCACAACGACGTAGACATAGCGCATTGCACTCTTGCTGGTGACTAGCGTATCCATGAAGTCCATGGACAGGCTCTCACCAGGCCTTTTCGGAATCGAAAGATGCTTTAGAAGCCCAAGAGGGGCCTGTGTACGTGGCGTGTCCCGCTGACAGACCTGACAAATTTCCACGTACAGCTTGGTGTCTCTCATCATTGTGGGCCACCATAGCCGCTGCAGCAGATTGGCTGCTGTCTTTTTGTAGCCAAAATGTCCGGTGGCATCATGACACTCGCCTAAAAATAAACTACGCAAAGACTCTCTATTCG